CCCCTGCCATGGGAGAGCCCAGCCCCTGAACCATCCCACCCGCGATGGGAGAGTCCAGCGCCTCAATCTGCGCCTGCATTTGACCTGCCAACAGGAGTAAGAGACAGAGGGGAGAAGAATGTTCACTGCTCACACACCTACAGACACGCACAGGTGAAATCAGGCCCCGAAATCAATTGTTTGCAGTGGATTTTTCTATCTGTGGATTTTCAAGCCCGTTTTGGTTTCCTTCCTAAAACTGGTTATTTTATAATATTGCTTTTTATGTGTAGGAACTCTTCTTCGAAACATATTCTTGTTTAATCCCTAAAGACCATGTCAGTCCCCCTCTAAACTTGTAAAACATTTTACTGAACTAAACATGTCTGTTACATTAAGCAAATAAATTATATAGCATTTAGGGGGAAAAAGAAATGAAAATAAGCAGAATAAAACCCTCAGAGAAACCAAACTCACACTAAAAAGTTAAGAATTTTCCAAACAAATTTATATTATAGCAAAACTACATAACTCTGAAATAAACACTAAGATGTAACCCAAGGCATGTCAGAATTGTTTTCAAGTAAGGTTAACTTTAAATCTCCAGACCAGGACAGGATTAATGTCCCCTGGCCGGTCCCCACAATACCATCTGCTGGACCACACACCTGGCTGATACAAACATTCTGACTGTCGGTATCAATTGCTGACTTCTCTAACCCATTAGTCAACTGTTTTTAGTATGACAGAATGCGGAGCATTTGCAAGTTACTTTACGTTTTGGAGTTTAAATATTTAAGGCCGGAAGTGGCGACTGACTAGGGGCTGAGCACAAGTGCAGGTGGTACCAGGTGGCCCGCGTGGCCGTGGCACGCCCAGTGGTCAGAAGGCACCAAGGCAGGAACAGGGACCCTGTCGCAGCAGGACTGTCACCTGGCAGGTCCTGCCCACTTTTAGTCTCATGAAGATGTGGCTTCTTACGAATCTGGATTTTATACTCACCTAAACCCTTCTGCCCGGGGTTCTTAGCAAAGGTGAAGGTAAACTGATAAAAATCCTTAAACTTCGCCGTGTCCTTCAGTTCCTGCTCCAGCCTCGGCAGAAGGGCCCTCAGCTTCTCTGTGCTGTCACACCTGCCGAGAGACAGTGCTGTTGTGGCGGGACAAGCGCCTGCCCAGTCTGGCCGCTCCCTGTGGCCTGCGGGCCCCCTTCTCTAGCTAAAAGGATTCCGGTGCTCCAGAACGGATGGTGGTGGTGGCCGCACAGTGCCGTGAAGACGCCAAAACCAGACTTGTGGACTTTGAGTGGGCGAATTCTGGCCCTGGGGTCGCCTCCTTATGGCCAGGCTCGTCCACATAGGACAAAACACAACTCCACTGCTCGAGAGTCGGGCTTTCCGGGCGCGGGGTGGGGATGGGGGGGAAGGGGCAAGTGGGTGAAGGGATGGCACACACTTACTGTGATGAGCACGGAGGAACGCACAGAACTGCTAAGTCTGTGCACTTAGCATAGCGCTACTGCTGTGCACCTGACACTAGCATAGTGCTACATTAATTACGCTGGAATTTAAAACATACATTTGCTGAAAATGAATTAAAACATTGATCTTCCTCCAAAAAGTCAACATCCTTTAAGAATATTAAAAAGCCTTAAAAGCAGAAATCTAGAATAGCAAAACATAAAATTTGTCTTTTTTATTTTGACAACCCAGCAAGAAGATCGTAACAGCCCTTGCTTCACCAATGCCGCAACAGAGCCCTAGGGCTTGGGAGCGAGCAGGGGAAGCCCTGCCTCAGTGGCCACCTGCGCGGTGACACAGAGGTGAGGCGTACAGCTCCAGGGACCCACACCAAGGCTGGCGTGCTCCCCACCTCAGGCCTCTTCTCTATGGGGCCACTCCGTGCCCTCCTGTGTGCCTGCATCACTCCAAGCAAGCACTCCCTGATGGTCAGTTGCCCCATTTTTGAACTTTGTAAATGGGAGCACATGTCTGGCTTTTGTGTCTGGCTTTCTGTGTTGACGCTGTGTCTGCAGGTTCACTTGTGCTGGCGTGTAGCTCACATTGAGTCATTTTCGTTACCATGTAGCATTCCACTGTATTCATACTTTATGATTTATATGTTCTGCCAATGAGAAATCCTCTGGCTATCTCTAGTTTTCTGGTAACAAAGGTTGTTAAGAACATTTCTATACATGTATCCAGGCACACAAGTAAATGTGTTAGGTTAGGCACAAGACCAAGTGGTCCAGCTGGGTCACCGAATCTCAAGTGTTGTGATATCAAACTGTTTCCTAAAGAGACTGCCCCATGTCAACCCCCTGCCAGCAGTATACGAGAGTTCCTGTTCCTCCCGTTTTCAGTGATACACACAACTGTGTCTTATTTTAGCCATTCCACAGATTAAGTTCGTCGTAATTTAACCTGTACTTCCTCAGTGAACAACACTGCACACCTTGTATTTTGACTGGCTATTTGGAGATGCTCTTTTGTGAAGTGCCAGTTCAAGTCTCCTGCCCGTTTTCAATTAGGTATCTTTTTCTTATTGTTTTGCAGGCTTTCTTTATATATGAACGACATAAGCTTTGGTCAGCTAAGCAGTCTACCCCAATGTGGACTGCATTTTCCCTTCTTGATGATCGGAATTCTTATTTTTAGTATAATACACTGCCAGTCTTCTTCACGGTGTTTTTAACAAAATTTTTTAAATGTTTATTTTTGAGAGACAGAGAGAGCATGTGAGTGGGGGAGGAGAGAGAGAGAGAGAGAGAGAGTGCGCACAAGCAGGGGAGGGGCAAACAGAGAGGGAGACACAGAATCTGAAGCAGGCTCCAGGCTCCAAGCTGTCAGCACAGAGCCCAATGCAGGGCTCGAACTCAGGAACCATGAGATCATGACCTAAGCCAAAGTCAGAGGCCTAACTGACTGAGTCACCCAGGTGCCACAGGTTTGTGGTTGTTTTTTTTTTTAATGTGTTCAAACTTCCCCCACTGCATGGTCATAAAGATATTCTCCTACATGATTTTTCTAGAGGCTTCTGGCTTTTGCCTTTAGCCTTTCACACTGACATCTATGATCCACTTGGAACTGATTTTTTATGTACGTTGTGAGGTAAGGATCAAGGTAAGTTCTTCTCCATGTGCCAATTCTCCCAGAACCATTTACTGAAAAGATGTCCTTTCTTCACGTCTCTGAAGGCTGCCTTTGCCATAAATCAAATGTACCTTAACACATGGGTTTGTTTCTTGGCTCCCATTCTGTTCCACTGGTCTACTGATCTCAGTAGTAGTGCCAAGTAGTCTTAATTACTGTAGCTTGAAAAGTCCTAATTATCTGAGAGAACAGATCTTCCCCCTTTTGTTTTTTAAGAACTTTTGGCTGTTCTTGACTGTGCATTTTCATATAAATTTTAAATCCATTTGTCAAACTACACATATATAAAAACTACTACTTAGTGTGGTTTTGATTGAGATCACATTAAATACGTAAATTTAGGGACAAAATACTGACTGTTCCAACCTATAATGAGGTTTATGTCTCTACTCAGGCTTCTTGCCTCTTCTTAAGTTATTTTCTCTGTGGAGGTAGCACACATCTTTAATTAGATTTATCCTAGGTGTTTTTCATTACTGATACTATTGAAAATGACATATATTTTAAAAATTCACTTTGTTTTGTTGAATTGTTGCATTCAGTATTCTAAAATAAGATTGATTTTTGTTTGTTGATCTTGGGTCCTACAGTCTGGCTAAACTCACTTATTGACTTTAATATTTCACCTGTGGATCAGACTAGCTACCACCACCTGTTCAATGCTTAATAAAAGTAGGCATTCACGTTCCAGTTAAGTATAAGATTTCCTCTAGGATTTGGCAGAACGGGGGTGGAGGGGTCAGATTAAGTACTGTCCCTTCTATTCTTGGTTTGCTGTAAGTTCTTTTTCAAAACATTATGAACAGAATTGAATTTTTTTTAACGTTTACTTTTGAGAGAGAGAGAGACACAGACAGAATCTGAAGCAGGTTCCAGGCTCTGAGCTGTCAGCACAGAGCCCTATGTGGGGCTTGAACTCATGAATTGTGAGATCATGACCTGAGCTGAAGTTGGATGCTTAACTAACTGAGCCTCCCAAGCCACCCAGAATTGATTTTTTTTTTTAAATGCTTATTTACTTACTTTGAGAGAGAGTGTGAGCCAGAGAGAGAGCGCAAGCAGGGCAGAGTGAGAGGGAGACAGAGAATCCCAGGCAGGCTCCACACTATCAGCACAGAGCCTGACACAGGGGTCAAACTCACAAACTGTGAGATTGGGACCTGAGCCTAAATCAAGAGTCGGACACTTAACCAACTGAGCCACCCAGGCGCCCCTGAATGAAATTGAATTTTATCAAACCCATTCTTTAAAATTATTTTTTAAAATGCTTATTCATTTATTTTGAAAGAAAGTGCATGCACAAGCTGGAAAGGGGCAGAGAGGGAGAGGGAATCCCAAGCAGGTTCCATGCTCAGTGTGGAGCCTGACGTGGGGCTCAATCTCCCAACTGTGAGATCATTACCTGGGCTGAAATCAAGAGTTGGACATTTAACAGACTGAGCCACATAGGTGCCCCTTATCAAAGTTATTTTATGCACTGAGATAATCCCCCCTTTTCTGTTGTTGTGATAAATTACATTGGCTTTGTAATGTTAAACAAATCTCACAATTCCAGACTATAACAAACTTTGTCATGATAAATAATCCTGGTTTTTTGGTTGATTTGTTTTGGGGGCTGGATTTAGTTTGCTAATAATTTGTCTAAGATTTTTGCGTGTTATGCATCTTTTGATTCCTATGACTGAGAGTGGACAATAATCTTTCATTCTCAAAATATCCTTTTGTGCTTGCTTCGGCAGCACTAAAATATCCTTTGCTATCCAGGTTGTGCTGGCCTCAAAACAAATTGGAAAGAGTTTCTTCCTGTACAATTCTCTAAAGAGGCTGTGTAGAGTTGGCACTGTTCTCTTTATTAAATGTTTTGTAAGATGTGCGCCAATCGAGGCCAAGAGTTTTTTCTCTTTGAGAAGATTTAAAATTATGAGTTCTCATTCTTTAAAAGAGTTATGGAACTATTTATATGTCCATTTCAGTAAGTCACATTTTTAAGAGAATTTTTCTTTGGCATCCAGGTTTTCACGATTACTAGCATAGAGTTGTTCATAATACGCTCTTCACCTTTAACATCTGTAGGGTCTATAGTGGTGTCTCTCTTTTCATGCCATATTGTTTATTTGTTCCTCACTACTTTTATAAGTCTTTTCAAACAGCAAGCTTCTGGCTTGTTTTCTGGCTTGATTCTATTGACAACTTCTTTTCTATTTCCTGAAATCACTGCCTGTTTAAAAAAGTAATTCCTTCTCTCTACATTCTTTGAGTTTAGTTTCCTGCTTTTCCTGCTTTTTGAGATAGATACTTTGCTTACTGATTTTTAACTCTTCTTTCCAAAATATGCACTTAAGAAGCTGAATCCTGCAAGTTTTCATAAGTAGTGTTTTCATCATTCAAAATACTTTCTAATTTCCATGGTAACTTCTTTCTAATCCAAAAGCTATATCCACATGTATTTCAACTGACTGAGTTATCCTTTTGTTATATTTCTACCTTAATTGTGTTATGGCCTAAAAATACACTCTATCACTTCAATCCTTTGAAATTTGTTGCAACTTCTTTTATGCCTCAGTTTGTGGTCAACACTTACAAATGGTCTACTTGTCTTCTAAAAAGAGTACATATTCTTCAACATCAAAGGGTATAATCAGGTCACTTGTTGTGTTGCCCAAATGTCCTATTTCCTTACTGATTTTTCATCTGCTCTTTTCATCTGGTAAGATGTGTGTGAGAATTCCCCATTGTGATTGTAGATTGATAGATTTCTCTTTTCAGTGTTTATTTTTGCTTTAAATAATCTATTGCCTTCCATGTGAAATAAACCCTTCCTCATTATGAAATGTCCTTCATTATCTCTAGAATTATTCTTTGCCTTAAAGCTTATTTTAACATTAACATACCCACACCAACTTGTTTTGGTTAATGTTTGCAAATTACATCAACCTTCACCCCTCAAATTGTTCTGTGCCCTTATGTTTTAACCATATCTATTGTAAACAGTGTACACAGTGGTTGAATTGATGTTCTACAACCCACCCAATACTTAGTTCACTTACACTAAATTATGGAAATGCCGACACATTTTGCTTTCAATCCTCCATTTTATCACGTGCTCGCTATTTGTCCTACATTAAGTAATTTTCCTTGTGTTCTTTTTTCCCCACATTCTTTTGGATTGAATTTATTACTTTCTTCTTGCTCCATTATTTAGGAATCACACATAAGTCACGTCCTCTACCATTTTTATCACGACTGTAACATACACAAAGAAAGCAAATATTTCTCCCACTGTTTTGTCTTTTTAACACTATCTTTCATTAAGCAGAGCTCTTACCTGTGATGAAGTCCAATTTATCAGTTTTTTTGCTTTGATGGCTAGTGCTTTTCACATCTTCTCTAAGACAATGTCCCTTAATCTGGGTCTTAACAAAGAGCTTCTCCCGTGATTTGTCTAGAATTCACAATTCTAAGTTTCCTGCATGGGCATGTAAGCCCCCGTCCACCTCAAGACACGGCCTGTGGCCTGATGCGGGCCCCAGGGAGACGTGGTCTCAGGCTGACCTGGCTATTTCAGCATCAGTCATGGAACACTCTTCTTTCCCTGCTGATGTAATAAAAATTGACCAACAATCTTGAGGCAGATGAAAAATAAGAAGACTTCACTAGTTCCTTTCAAGACTTACCTAATGCCACAATAATGAACACTATGTGCTTCAAGGTTAAGGATAAACAGACTCACAAAATATGACAGCGAGTCCAGAAATAGATCCACAGTATGGCCAATTTCTTGTTTTGACAAAGATGTCAAGGGATTTCATGACGTTCACAAAGCTCATTTACCAAGCCTCCAGCCCCCAATGAAAGGCTGTAGGGTTAACAGCTAGAGGCCAAGTGTTCCAGCCACCGGGAGAGTTAATAGCCAGGAAAAAGTGTGAAAAACAGTAATAGAGCGGATCAAAAACCCAAACCCAAAGTGCTTTTTAAAGCTTAGTGCTGCTCAGACTACAATAGCCTTTTACATCCCTAAAAGCACTGAGGTTATCTCTGCAGTACAGGTGGCTGTCACATCACTAATACTTCCATCTCGTAGACAGCACTTGAATGCTTACTGAGTACTTTCCCTTGTAACCACTCTGTGAGATGTGACGAGTGGCGCCATCGGCCAGCACTGACTTATAACCTCAAGTCACCTGTATCCACCACATAAGGAGGCATGAACTCATCTAACACTTTGGGAAGATTCACACTCAAAATCTTTAAAATAGGTTCTTTAAGATATAGCACGTATTAGGATAACAAACAGGAATTTTAAAAGTTCATCTAACACATTTCTAGATAATGCCTAAGAAATGCTAGCAAGTGTTTCTGTAAGAAGCACTTATTTCCAAAGTATCCTATTTGGGGGAGGTTTTAGCAGATGGATGAGTGTAGTACAGCGGCAAGAGAATGCTTCTTTAGTGTGGCTTTTCCATTTTCTTGAGTGCACAGAACATGGAGTGATATGCTGTCACAACCACTGTCCGAGTGATGTCTTCTGCTGGCTTTTACACAACCGCCAGCAATAGGGTAAGTCCTGTAGAGTTTATCATCGAAACAGACCAGGCCGATAAATGTAACAGATTCATCAGCTTAGTGGAAAACACAAATGTTCCATTTTCCCTGGGGCCCCGGGGTTAGCTGTAAGTATGCACCTTATGAACAAATGCTCTATTTTTCCCCAGGGATGTGGGAAGTATGCACCTTCTGAACATATTCACCTTGGGCTGTCAAGCTCCTTCAGCAACTAAAAATAAGCCAGCTTAAGTTGTCAACACTACAATGTCACAGTATCAGCAAGTCAAGCGAGTTAGCCTTCATACCAACCCATGAAATAGCTCAATACGCCTAATGATTAAAAGATATTTACGTTATGTGCTTTCATTTAATTGTCTGACTTATCTGATAAGTGAGAACCATCTTAAGTTATTAATGAAGCCTTTATCCTAACCCTGGAGGTAGAACAGACAAGTGTTATAAGCAAAAAACAAAATAATAATTTATTGATATTTACTATAGAAACACAATAAATTATACAATTAGTATACAATATTACGAAATAAATTCAATGGCTGAAAACAAACAAATAAAAACACCCTGATAGTTACTGTCAATTCAAAACTGGTAGAATAAAAATTAAAAAGAAAAAAGTAAGTTACAAAAGGGATTAATCTGAACAAAAATATTAAGTGAAACTTTATTTGAATTTAAAGGAAACTAAAAGCTTAATAGAGTACAGGTACAAGAAATGTGTAAGATACACACAGAACGTAAATGAATTTGAAACTAATATTTACAAGCTGTTGAAAAATAACTAATGTTGAAGGCAGCTTCCTTTTTGCAAAAATTTAAACTGAGACCAACTTACTTACCCGAGCTCTGTCATGCCATCTACAAATTCCTTTTTGGTAAATTCACATTGCGTCGCTGCCCTGAATTTCCACGCAATGACCAAAACGCTGACGCTGGCAGGATCCAGGCTTAAGTCATCACAAAACTGTTGAATTCCGTCAATTCCAATTTTATTTTCATCTTGTGGGTCTACAGTTAAAATCAAGAGAGAGAGAGAGAAGTTATGCTATTTTGGAAAATAACAAAAATGGGTGGTAAGCATCATAGCTCTATGAGATGGCTCTACCAAGCATGTTGCAAATACATCAATCAATAGACCACAATTTTCTACTGTATATGAAATAGCAACAAATGGTAATTTATCCAGAAAAAAAAAATCCCTATTTAAAAAATCTAGGTACTGGAGTTTAGGAGAAGAAAAAAAAGACCATTGCAACCTCTTTGAGAAGATGTCATCGTTAAGAAAAAATTTAATTTCCATAAAGAAAATAAAAACTCAAAGTTTACACAATTCTAGTTTGCCCAAAGACAAACTGCTACACAGAAATATTGCTCACTGTGGGTCGCCTGGCTGGCTGGCTCAGTAGGGGGAAGCATGTGACTCTCTGATCTCAGGGTCGTGAGTTTCACCCCCATGTTGGGTATGGAGATTACTTAAAAAAAAAAAAAAATCTTGGGGCTCCTGGATGGCTCAGTTGGTTGAGAGTCTGACTTCGGCTTGGGTCATGATCTCATGGTTTGTGAGTTCAGGCCCCGCACCCATTGGGCTCGCTGCTGTCAGCACAGAGCCTGCTTCAGATCCTCTCTCCCTCTCCCACTCTCTCTCTGTGACCCTTCCCCGCTCTCTCTCCCAAAAATAAATAAACATTAAAAATAGATAAATATTCTTTAATTAAAAAAAATACTGCATTGGCAAAGTGTTTACAATATTATGAGTTTTGGGGGAGCCTGGGTGGCTCAGTCAGTTGAGTATCCGACTCTTGATTTCAGTTCAGGTCATGGTCCTGTGGTAGGGTCCCCTCCCTAAGAAATGTGGTGAGAAAAAAGCCCTCAAGATAAGGGAAGGCAACCTGCCCATGTGCATACGTGACATCCCTAACGACCCTGTAACATGAGAGCACCCAATCAGACTATATGTCTATACGTTACCCGTATTTGGGAGACAAGGAAGTAGAAAATGCATAAAAGGCTACATGGGTACAAGCCCAACTGAGCGGTCCCGGCAGGAATAAAGTTGCTTCCTGGAAAGAAAAGCCTTGGTGTCATGACTCTGCGAGACCCCTGCTACAATCCCAGGGTCATGGGATTGAGCCTCACATCTGGCTCTGCACTGAGCATGGGGCCTGCTTAAGATTCTCTCTCTCTTTCTCTCTCTCTCTCTTCCCCTGTCCCTCTCCCCTGTTCGTGCTCTCTCTCTAAAAAAATTTTTTTGTTAAATATTACATATTTTTATCTCAATCCTGCCAAAGCAATAGAAAAACTCATGTCTTTTTTAAAGTGATTTTGTTTGCTATAATTTTAATGCTACTATACAGTATTTAGTTTTCAAAATCGTTTAGTTCATGCATCCACATTTAACAGCTTAGAAATTCAGGCTTCCCTCTGTCCCTATTTCTGGTTTAGAAATGAAATTAAGGAACTTAGCATTTCTTCATCAGGAAATCTAATAAAATCTACTAGAAAAATCTCAGTAAGACCTCACCAAACCAGGTCTAGTAATTTCCAACAAAGTGCGTGTATACTAAGATGCCATCACAACGTGTGTGTTAATTCTGTTGGTTTAGGAGGCACAACTAGAAAATTTGTAGCCTCTTTGCTCCAATGAAGATTAAGCGTGATAAAATTCTTCCATGACACAAAATCCAACTTTGGTCACTTCAGTACTATATACTATATTTTCATAGACATCTTGTTATTGAAACGAAATGAAAATTTAAAAAAAGAAAAGAAAACAAGTACATAAAATAAAACGAATGCCGTAATCAACAAGCGGAGGCCCAGGCTTCCTCCCGGGCCTGCTCTCCCATATTAATGAGGGAGCAGCTGTCCCGAGGGCTCCTGGTTCTCACCCCCCTCCTGTCAACGCTCCCAGTGCTATACAGATCCCCAGGGTGAGAGCACAGTGGGCCTGCACTGCCCTCACCTACAGGAACACTGACTATTTTAAAGTCACTCTGCAAGGACTCACTCATATGTATACATTAGTCCTAACAAGGTTGTGTCTGTCAGGGCCTTGGAACAGCACGTCTCTGCAGAGCCCACAGGGATCCCACAACGTGTCTACTTGAAAGGCCCAGAACTGCACGAGTAAAGGACGTGAGGGTTAGGTCTCCACTACAGAACGACCCTCACAGGGAGGAACTCTCTCACAGGTGGCTGGACATGTCTGAACACCTCCAGCCACCTGCACGGTGTGTGACCTCCGAGACAGGCCCCATGACAACCTCAGCCAGAGTAACTTGGAGCGCATTACAGCTTTTTCAAAATGATGACTTTTCACTTTCAAAACCACTGTTTGTTTTCCAAATACAAACCTGGTTTTTCTACTACAGAGTATGTTTTTGTGCCATGATTAAAAAAAAATGCAGTTTTAAATCTGTTTTCAGATCTAAATAGATTAAAATACACATACAGTATTTTCAAAAGTGAAACATGAAAATAATACGTCAACAAGAATTTAAAGCCAAGCGAGTTATTCTGTTTAGGTTAATACTTGGTTAAATGAGTGCTTTGTGTATTTTTTTTTTTTTTTTTTTTTTTT